TTATTTCTTTTTACTCCAGTCTATTATCGTTCTTACATTCTCAATATTGGAAAGAATATCTTTTGCTGCGATTGTTACATTTTCTTTTTCAGAAAAAAATATTGTTTTTATCGTACGAATACAAGAAAATTATTTCAAAACTCAGTAGTAAGTAGTAAGTGTGACGTTATTTGTTTGTCTTTCAGCAGATAGATGTGAAGGTCGAAAATAAATTCGAGAACTTATCGATTCAGTAGAGTTTTCAGCTAGTCGTGATAGTAATAGTGAGGCAAACAGTATCATCTTTATATACCTTAGCGTCAGTCTAAAAGAAATAATCTACTTCACCACATTGAGTACCTTGCAGAGTTTAGGATTTAGCGCAAGAAAGAGTGTGAAGACAATAATGTCTTAACTACATCTCTTAACGTAACGGCGAAAGGAATAATTTCATACTTATAATAAACAATCACATCTAAAACGTTTCAGGCTATGATATTAATTTCAAATTATAATAATCACACTAAAACTTTGCGAATGTGATCAATGGAAAAGTCAAAAAGCTAGATAATTGAATACTTCGACGCATAAAGTTTCCGCGGAGTGAAACGGTAACGAAAAGGTTGATTAGATAAATACTTGAATACTCGATCAGTTGAGTCCGTGAATAATTGAGTGGCATGTAGACGCTTTTAGCCACTATAGTATACGCAAAGTATTCTTTCATTTATGTCTTGCGCGCGTTATTTTTCTCACTCATTAAATCTCGATTATGCTATCATCAACCAAATACTTCTTTTTGAAAACCTCTTCGACATGATATTTATTCAGCAAAATCAAGAACTAGCCTAACAGAGAATATAATAGGACTTTACCGCACTAACTATATCAGCTATGATCAATCTCTCTGCAGCGGATAAAACAGATGAAAATATGCAAAAATTTGCATGGTGTTCAAAACAATTCTCTTATGCTACCCGATTTAGTTAAGACTAAAACACAAGACTGCACTAAGTCCACGTGAAAAGAATAGGGTGTGGGTGTGAATATGTTCTGTTTATCAGTCACCCACACCCTCAAAACAAAGGTGAAACAGTGGATTCTCGATCATTGGAAAATGTTTAATACCTTCTCTACTGCTTAACTGACTTCAGAAAAAATATTCTATAAAGATAACGATTCTCGTTTTCGTTATTTTACAAAGTAAAGATAACATAACACCTCTATTTCAAACATATTGTTATAATTTTGTGTGTTCTTCATTTTAGTTGAGTCTAGTTGCAAGAAGTGCTCGTCTAAAATGGCTGATTATTTGTGCAAAGATTGCCAGTGCGGGATCTGTGAAGAATGTTCTGCCAAACATCAAGAGAAGGAACTTTGTCAACATAAATCGACGTCCATTAAACAAAGATCAGATTCATATGAAGATCTTTCTTGTAAAAAGCACAAGAATGATACTTCTACTGCGATCGATGATGTTGCATCCGAAACAGTCAAAGATGTGAGTATTGTATCAGAGTTAGTAGAACACTATAAAACTAAATCATATCGTATAATTAGTTAAGAAATTTATTTGGGAAGGCACAAGAAGGTTTGAAGGAGAAAACAGATGAGGTGGATGAATTAATGGACATCAATAAGAATGTTAATATACAGAAAATTACAACAACTTTCGAAAAATTACGAAAACTGATTGATAACCAGGAGAACAATTTGAAAAAGCAGGTTCGTGCGATTGAACAAAAGAAAAAACCTGCAGTAGATGAACATCTGGAATCAATTGAAAGTAGACAACAGTTGCTTTCAAAGAAAAATGAACTATTCGAACAAATGGTTTCTACTAAAAATACCGCCCAGTTAATGGAAAATAATACTAGATTGAAAACGTTCGTACAGCAATTTATAAACCAAGTATCCGGACTCGAGCTATCAACAAACGTTCAATATTGCATTGATGAAATTGATCAGTTAGAATTCAAAATCCAAAGTCTTCTCGATCAAGCATGTGTTACAGGTAGCTATTTTGTAAACGTTACTTTATCAAAGATATGGCTTGTTCTTTCAACTAGAAATTGTTTAAAGATGTTACAAAACTGTCAGACCAAATCGAAGATACCTTCTTAGTAGACTGAAAATGATAACTAGCTCACTAATTTAATTGTCATTACATGAGATATTTAAAATTTCTGTTTAGAATTCGCTGCTTCAAACACTTATACACGGCCAGCTTGCAGTGGTCGTGCTTGTGCTAATTGCGGCAAATGTCGTGACTGGTACTATACGGGTGACCAAGAAATATGGAAATGGATAACAAATGTGAAGAACTGGAATGAAAATGAACGGAAGCGATGGGACGATGGCAAATATTCGGAGTGTTTTACGAAGCGTGAAGGTTCCACATGTCGTGGCCGGTTTGATTATTATTATGATCGTGATCATGTTTATCACGGTGGTCATATTGATTTTGGTTACACTTATTCCTGTAGAGATTGTGGTGCTCCTGCTTTATATCGTGATGGTGATTGTTGTGGTAGCGGTACTCGTGTTTCGTATATTAGTGAGGTTTATTCTTATTGTCAATGTTTAAACAATATTAAAAAAAAATAATTTTTTTCAAAATTTCAGAGACTCTCAATGCTACTTTATTGTATCGCTTTTTCCACAAAATAAACAGGCCATAAGTGTGATCACATAATACTTGCAGTTCTTTTTGATGATAAAATTTGAGGATGGCTTTGCAAAGAAGCAACTCAAGAAAAGTATGATGCATCTTGATTCTACTTAATCATCCTTGCAGTTGAATGTATATGGCTGTGGGTGTGAGTGTATATCTGGATGATCGAGAAGAAGAGACATCCACACCCCCCATCCTCAAGACGGTAAAACACATCGAAAACTCGAATTTTTTTAAAGAGAAATAAAATATCAAAACAATTAGTATTTCTTCTTCATCCACGTCTACACTCTTCAGATATAAGATTATTTCTAGTTTGCTTGAATAAATATTGAAAATTTATTGATAAATAGAACTTAAAAAGATATTAAATGAGAGTAAATAAAGACAATAGTGATCAACAAACACATTGAAGCAAAAATATTTTGAGTTAGTCATCGTAATTAAAATATCGTTTCTTTTATTTTTGATCTTTCATTTGTTTGCGATATATAAATCTAAAAAGAATGACAATAAATATTCATAAAATCTAATGAAAATTCGAACGTACTCTATTCAATGCATCTAATAATTGATCAATCCTATCAGGAAAACGTTCAATTGGATCAAAATATTGTGATCGCATTCGAATATCTCGTTCTTCTTGGATTTCCTCATCTGTTATATTTTTCAAACCTAAATAAAAAATAATAGAAATTCTTTTTCTTGAATTAAATTTCATCGAATTACCTGTCCATCGTTGAAATTTCTTCAACATAAATGAAAAGATCTGTTGATTATGTAGATCAACATTTTCTCTTGCACGACGAAAATTATCATTAATTATTGAAAGAAACATACTTATACAAATAAAGACAACAAAAATAATAAATAAACTAAAACAAAATGGACCAAGAAATGCGGATGCTTCACTTAATTCATGTGCATCAAATTTCATCAACATAATCTCAAATAACATACGTGCCGTGTCTAATAAACTTGAACAAGAAGAAATCTTTCCACTAAATAATAAATAAAAAAGAGAAAGAAATGCTATAAATATAATTGAAAACATCATTGAGAATGGTATTAGATCTGTTCTTGCGTATTTAAGTGTTTCAATAAATAAACAAAGACGTTGATTAAAACGCAAAAGTTTAATGGCTTTGATTGTACCAAAAAAACAAGAAAAACCCAATAAAATTGTTAAAATATCGTTAACATAAGATGCGAATTGTAAATTAATATAAACATATCCATTTGTTTCTTTAAATAATTGACCAATACGTTCACATTGATGATATCGCCAAATATAAATTCCAACACTTGTCCATGCACATACAATTATTCCAACTTCTATATATGACCAGAATCGATAAAAATATTTCCGTTTCAGTTCAAATAATAATCGAATCTCTATCCACATGTGATATATCATCATTAACATGTAAAGAATTATAACAATTAATTGAAGTTTTGATGTAAACGCTAAACAAAAAGATTTTAATTTTTCTATTAGAAAAAAAACCATGAAATTACCATAAAAATTAAATGGTTCGAAACGAGCTGTTGGATAAACTCCAGATGATGACACAAATTCTGCAAGAAAAGTAACTGAAGTAAATAATTGAACATTTGGATTATATAAAGTTAATTGAATAATCACAGCTCTTGTTTTAGCATCAATCCATCCTAATTGATGAAGTGTAGATAAATTACTTTGAAGATCAACTAAACGACCTCGAAATTCATAAACATAACCACCACCTTCATAACTTCCATAATCTCCAATATAAGTATATGTATCTAAATCTTTACTTGATTTATATTGAAATGATTGACTAATGGGTAAACTATATATTTCTATGGTTTCATTTAACCATCCTGGTTGATAGGGATCTTTGTCTTCATTTGATAAACTATAATCATATTGACATGATGAAATAATTTCATTTTTAACATGACATAATTGAGATTTAATACGTAATTGTCTCATTGTTGCCCATCCAATGAATCGATTTGTTTTATCATTAATAAAACCACTCAAATTACGAGGTACTTCACCATTATACCATTGTTGAGCACGAATATTTTCAACAAAACTATTTTCTAACCAATTCCAATAATCATCTACTGTTGAAACCTAAAATCTAAATTATTTAATATCAAAGATTTTCTAAGAGAAACAAACTTTTGTATAATCTGAATTGATTTGTCTTGAATTTAGAAAATATTTTTGTAAATGATCAACTTGATTAAATGAATTTAAATCACAATGTGTATAAGTTAAAATAGAAAGAAGTGAGAAAAACCATAAATAACGAACTATTTCTCGAATAATTGACCACATATAGATTTCTTGTAAACGTCGATCACGAGCATAGATAACTTCACTTTCGTTTAAACGATTTGCACGAACTGGTGGACGATAGGTAAACAAAGATCTCTTCTATAATTATTCATTTATTTCAATTATTATTTCTGAATAATAAAATACGAACCTTAGTCGAATGAAGATATTCTTCATCATTATTTAAATCAACTTGATTATTATCTAAAAATTCGTTTGCTTCGTAATCATCATTCGATCTTCGACAAAAACAAGCAAAGATTATTGCCAAACTTATTATCTTCAATAGAAATATACATTTCAATTTAAATGAGAACTAATCAAACATTTACTTTTATTGGTTGGGAGAAAAAGATCGATGAGAAAAATCCACTTAAAATTGATATTAACCATTGTTGAGTTTTCTCATCACCAAATTCAATTCCACGAGCAATTATAAATAGAATCGAGAGACCAACGAATATTATACAAAGTCCATATGCAATAAATATACACCACCAAGGAAATGTTAATGAAGATTTTCGATTGTTTTTCTTTTGATCAACATCAGTTTGACTAAAGCAAAAAAAGAACATTTGTATATATTTGATTTGGAATTATTCAAACCTCTGTAAATGTGGTTTAATTTTATATAATGCTTGATGTAATGGTGAAAGTTGTTTTTGACGAGATCGAAGACGTCGAAATAATTGTACAATTAAAAGACTTGGAATGAATGCAAAGAACTCAACAATAATACCAATTATTATCTATAAAATATAGAATTATATTCGAAATCAAAGGCAAAAACAATACTTGTTGAGAATTAATTTGTAGAGAACCAACCGATAAACTGGCTGAATTATTGCTTTTTGCTTGATTTGATAAATCATAATACATTATATTTAAAAACATCGAAATAAAAAATAAAACAAAACAACATGTACATCGTTGAACACGTGTAAATTGATTTGATGGTGGACGAGAAAATATTGAAAACCATAAATGACCATCAGATACACTATAATATGTACGTTTTGATAATACGTAAGAAAAATTACTTTTCTCCATTTCACTTGCAACTGGTAAAATTCGTTCAATCTATGAAGAAAATCATATTAAAAGTGAATATAATAAAGAACTAAATTACTTTTCCATCATCTTTTTCAACTGCAAACCAACGTTGAGAAATAAAATAAAATTTCTCCATTGTTTGTAAATCACGAATAATTATATATTTAAGAAACCATGATGATGATGAACCTTTACCTGTATTATCATGCCATATACGAATACAATTTAATAATCCCAATGATCTAAAATTCATCTTTTCATCTTAATTAAATGATTGAAAAATGTAATTTTACTTTGGAACACTCATTACAAATGCATCAACACCACCACGTTGTAAAATTCGTCGATGAGGATCAGAAAATGTTCGAATGCGTGTTGTATCATCATCACCATGAATCACAAAATGAACCTATTATATACTTTTAACAATACAAATATCTTTCTTCTTTCAAAACTTACATTTGAATTGGTTCCGGCATCTGTTCTTTGACCAGTAAAAACAATAATTTCATATAAATATTCATCTGATTGATGATTATCAGGTAATGGTGTTACTCCTAATTTTTCAAGATCTTTTTTATCTTTCCAACGTGCATAAATTATTAAGATAATGTAAATTACCGATACGCAGATAATTGTTAAGTAAATCGTTTTATTTCTCATAAAATCAGCATTGGCAAAAACATAATTCCAATTAACAGATTGAGGTAAAATTTGAAAACCACTAGAAAATGTTGTTAAATGAGTTGAAAAACATTGAGTTTCATAATAATTTGTGTTTCGTCCAACTGTTAATCCATCCGATTTCCATTGATTATTTTGATCGAGATAATAACAACCCGATGTATAAATTCGAACTTCATAATTTTCTGTAAAATTAAATCTTTCATTTGTTATTGGAGGAGTTAAAGTTGAAGAATTAAAACAATAATCATTATTTTCAGTTGTATTTAATTCTCGTAACCCAAATATAATTGATTGATGACCGGATGTTTGTTGATTATCAATAAAATATGTATACATACTTTCATTTGTTAAATTGAACGGGCAAAATACAGTCCATCCATCAATAATATTTATTGAAGTATTTAATTGAGGTATTTGATCAAATTTATAAATAAATAAATAGGAAATATTTGTTTCTAATGGATGAATTTCAATATGAACTGAAACCGAAAGTGTATTTGTGATATTAATATAATGGAAAGAAAATAATTGGTTATGCGGTGCAGAATCTATTGATGATGTTACATTTTGAATAATCATTGATGGAATGATTACATTTGGATCACGAGGAATTATAATTTCAATTGGATCTGTTGAATCTGTATTAATTAAAACTTCATTTCCATTACGATCAACAACAGAAAGTGATATAGATCTCGAAAGATTTGTATTTGCTGTTTGTATTTTTAAACTACCCAATGGAGCAAGTGGTTCCATCCTTGACTAAATATTCAATAATAAAAGAAATATAATTAACAAAATACTAGGGATCTACCAAGCCCAAGAGGAGGGTCGGGCTCGGGTGTGGGTGAAAATGTGAGTGAGAGTGAAAAGGATAGTACCCGGACTCTAGGGACCTGCACGGAGTCATTTTCGGAGTCGCCGTCGAAGTCAAGTAAGTTTCATGTTGGTAATTCCATTTTAACGTTAAAAATTATTTAAGTTCATAGTTTTGTTGTTCGACATTTTCATTATAAAATTACGTATTTTGAAGGATCGGCAGACGTCTTATCGAGTCTCACAAAACCAAAATAAAATGCAGAAAAAGTCGGAGTCGAAAGTGAATCTGACTTTTCTTGACTCCGATTTTCTTTTGTGTTGGCGAGGTTCAACAAAGCATCGATCTATCCTTCAAAATACATAATTTTGTAGAGAAAATGTCGGACAACAAAACTATGAACTTAAGTAATTTTTAACGTTAAAGTTGAATTATTGACATGAAATTTACTTGACTCCGACGGCGACTCCGAGAATGACCTCGTGCAGGTCTCTACCGCACTCCCTACACCCGCCCGAGAGACTCGGTACAACCCTACAAAATACAGTACACTTACTCGAAGTGAAACTGTTGAATTATCACTTATGTTTGACTTGAAATTTTTTGGAATATTAATTCGAGCATTTCCAACTTGTTGAACTTGTTTATTTGAAAGAGATTTCATTGATACAGTTTCTAGTGACATAAATGTTGATGATGTATTTATTATTAAATTTTGACCAATATTTAATTGAATATTTGATATAGAAGTTAGTAATGATAGAATTTGATTCACTTTAGTGGTAACTTGATTTGCTAATTGTTTTTGATAATAGGTATTTCGACCTTTTTGTATTGTTTCCCATGAAAAATCATTTCCATCAGAAAATAAATCTAAATAGATTCAATAGAGAAATGGGTTATTTAATCATATATTTAATATTACTTGGATTTGACCAGGCGGATTCAAGATCTGTATCATAATCCGTCGGAAATGCTGTTGCACGTGATGAATCTAAATCCAATATATCTGTTCGTTGTTGTAGTGGACCATTAACAGCCTGAATGAAAAAAATATCAATTGTCGTTCTATTATTAAGGAAAATATCTTACAGTTAAAATATTCGTTGCACATTGAATCAGTTGAGTTGTGATTATTTGAACATCTTCATATGAAATTCTTGTTACAATTGAATATAAAGCAAGAGATAATTGATAACATTTATCTAATGCAAGTGTCTATTTTTATTTAGAAGAATTTAAACTATATAAGAAGAAGAAGAAAAACGAATATTTATTTTCTTACTAAAGCAGTTCGTGTCAATTGATTTGTTGCTTGAGTTAATTGAGCTAATGATGATGCTTGTAATTTTATATTATTTGATGTTGAAATATCAAGATTAGTTGTAAATGTCATTAAATATTCTCGAAGATTTGCATGAGAATTTAAGTCTTTTTTATATTGAATTAAAGCTGTTGCATTCAATGGAGTAGAATTCTATTTAACAAAAAACGATTTTAATAAAATGAAATAAAGTATCGAAGAAAATTACTCCTTGTGAAGTTGTACTTCCTAATTGAGATACAGAAATACTTGCGGCTGGTATTCCACCTAGAAGAAAAATTTCTCTTAGCATAACAAGATGTTTTCGGATTAAACTTACTTGAAACAGCTTGATCAATCGCGTCACTATTCATTTTATTAGATTGTTGCGAAAGACAACCAATAATTTGTCCAATAATATTTTGATTTCCACTTGAAAGCAATTGAATAGTTGGATCATTTGCCAATGCATTCGATGAACTTTGTAAATTATTTAATAAATTCGTAATTCCTAACGTATCTGGTAGAACAGTAATAGATGACATGCTATATTCTGTAATACAATCAAGCGTATCACGAATTTGAATAATAAGATGAAGTAATGATGTTTGATCATCTCCGGAAGGTAATCGAACTTGAAATATTGACACGGATGAAAATGAAATAAACGTTCGTTCTTGTGGATCTGTTGTCCAAGCTAATCAAACAAAAAATATTTTTTAATAGTTCAATAGGGTATGGGTGTGGGTGTGAATATTGCCTTCATTAGAATCTATAGAACACGTATATATCTGACTCAAAAGTGATCAAATCAGTGGAGAAATTTCTCATACCGTAAATTGAATAATCTTTAATTCCATCTTCATCAAACCACTTTGAACATGAGATATTAAATGAAGTGCTTGTTGTACCATTATAAGGGCTAATTGAACATGAGCCGTTGACAGGAGGTTGATTGATTATGAAATTTAATGCACTCGAACTTGCTTGTAATGCAAATCCATAAATAACTTGAAATCGCCAAAGATTAATTTGCGGATTATTAAGAAATAGTTGATTCAATGCAGTAAAATTACTTGTATTCCATCCTAAATTAATCAATAGGATAATTAATCAAAAAATAGAAAAATAATTTTACCAAAAAACCAAATATTTTCATAGATATTCATTTGATTGAACAAAGTCCATTGAGTAGAGTTTGAAGATATATTTGTTGTGCCTTGATAAATATTCCATGTTATATTTTGAATATTATCACAATCTCCAATACATAAAGAAAATAATGCAACTTGAGTTGTTGGATTAACAAGTTGAAATTCCAAATTTGGAGTGCACATTGTCCATATAACACAACTAAATCAGAATATATGTATCTTTAAATTATATTAAAACATAGTTCAGGGTGTGTGGGTTAAGAGAAGATAGAGACCCACACCCTCCTATCTTAAATTAATCAGGTACAAAATTCTTATCGATACTGTAACGCATCTGTCAGTCGATTATCTCTATGTCAAAAATGAGAATATATAGAATTACGAGAATCGAAAAATGTATTTTAACTATTTTAATCTAAATGAATGCTTAATATAATTTTCATAAAAGATAATATACCCAACGGCAATCATTTGTGAATCAATAGTTCCAACTGTAACAAGTACGTAACCAGTTGCTTGCGTAGAAGAATTTTGTCGATTTTCCATATAAACCATAAATTGATATGTTTGATTTGGTTGAAGTGAATTAGAAAGAATTGTTAATGATGATTTCAATGAAGTGCCATATTTCCATCTTGTTCCATTTCCTATTAATAATAAAATTATTCAAATAGATATTCAAATTAAATTTACTTGTTTGATTTGCGAAACATGATGGATTTAAAGGATCCATTCTATTATCATCAATTGGTAATAATGAACCATTTAGATTTGGAAACATATATAAACCATAAATTCGACAATAATATACATATTTCCAATTCTATTAAATAAAAAAAGTTAACTGAAATAATTCTAGAATTATTTTCTTACACTTTCATTAAATGTAGATCCATCAAGATCAACTGAAAATGCTCCTGGATTAAAATTAAGATCTTGATCATATCCAATTGTAATCATTGATGTACCTAATTGAACAAGATTTACTGTTATACCTGATGGTGTTATTTGAACATAAACTGCAGATGATGTTGTCAAATTTGTTAAATTAGTCATGGTTACAGTTAATTGTAATTCATAAATTCCATAAGGCAATGTTTTTGCTGGTATATATAATTCACTAAATGTTGTTTTTATTGTTTGATCTAACTGAATTTGATATGAACAAGTTGAACTACAATTTTTTATTTTCCATTGAGTAACTGTTGATAATGAACCACTACAATTTAATTCTATCGTTGAAACTATATTAAAATCTTCACTTCGACGAAATTGTATTGGTGACGATAATGTTGATGTACCAGGAATAATTGTTACTCTTGGTGCAAAACATTCTAAGAAATAAAATAAACATTCAAAATATATTTTTATAATTTTTTAATTATTACTTTGAGATATGATCGATAGTTTTGAAGTTGTCATTACTTCTGTACTTGTTGTTTGTCCTAAAAATATTTATATCTTATTATAGAAATTATTTTAATCAACAAACCTATTCGAACTGCTGTAGTAGACGGATCAACAGTTGTTTGAGGGTGGGTGTGGGTGTAACATCGATAAGGGATGAACACGACACTTACACCAACACCCTCATCAATAATAATTCTGAAATCCTTAATATTGTCTCTTGCAAATAACTATTACTATAACGATAGTTCTGTACATTAGACTAGTCTCACTCTGAGTCCTTTCATTCATTATGTTAATGTAACACATTGTTTAACTATAATCATTGGTATATATTATAATGTAATCCATATGTTTTAGTATCGATGACTCGTTGTCTTGAAGCTAAACTTCTTTTCAAGAACAACTAGCGAAGAACGATCTTCATTAACAGTAATTATAACGGGAGAGTTTGGGTTAAAGTATTAAAAAAATCTGTAAGACAAAAGTGAACAACATATGCAGTATTAGTGGTAGTAGAGAATGAAGAATTCTCTTGAAAATTAATCCGCAAATTGATAAAAAGTAGGTTTAAAGAAAATAAAAATGATGTCTGTAACATAACGGTGCTTATGAAAACTCTTGTAAAATCTATATTAACTAACACGACAAGAAACGAAAAACGGCACTGGAATTGTAGCTGAGTTCAGAAAAAAAAATTCTCAAAGATTTAACTAAATACTTTATACATACTGCAAGAATTTGTTGATAAAACAAATTTTTGAATTCGATCATTATAAGTATCTGTGACAAACATATTTCCATAACTATCAAAACTAAGAGTAGTTGGGTAATATAATTTATCAGGTGTTGAACCCGCAGAAGTAGAACATCCAACTAAACATTGAAAACCATTTGGTCCTTCACCAACAATACGATTATATCCACCATCCACAATAAAGAGATAATTATCAGCATCGAGAACGATTCCACTTGGATGATAAAGCGTAATTGTCGCATTTAAAGATCCACTACCTGCAACAGTTATTGCATTTAATTGCCCTAATCGAAAGAGTTGAATCCGATTATTGTAAGAATCTGCCACATACAAATCAAAATTAGTATTAACATAGATTCCCCAAGGAGAATGAAGCATATTCGCGGTGAATCCACTGCATCCTGTACCAGCAATAATTGTTGTTGTGTTAGAATTATTATCCAATGATTTTTTAACAACTTGATGACGATTAAACATTGAACAGTAGAGAGTATTATTAATATCAACAAAGAGACCATAACATGCTGCAGTAACATACATTGTAGGAATACTAATATTTGCATTTAATGTCCATTTATCAACTCGACCATTCGACCCTCCATTATCAATATAAATGTCACCATCACTTGTCACGAACAGAGAATATGGATTTAACAAATTTCCAGAAATTGTTCGTGTTGGATTAATACTATCATTTATCCATATCTGAATTCGACCATTTTGGTAATCAGCAACATAGATCGTGTTGTTAGTATTGACATAAATGCCCCAAGGGTATGTACCAACTGTAGTACCATTAGCGAAAGTGCTTGCATTGGCACTCCATGAAACACATGCATTGAATTTAGGTTGATTGTATGACACAACTAAATAAAATAAAGATTTTAATATTGAAAATATTTTATTAAATAAAATTTGCCTCTATTTAAAGACGATATTGTAATATTATTTGATTGAGTAGTTAAAATTGATGATGTATTCACTGAAATTTTTATTGAATTTATTAAATAAGAGATCGAATTTTGTCTTACCAGAATTTATAGTTGATGTTGAATTTTCATCTAAAAGAAAACATTTTAATTTCATTAAATGAAAATCTTTTATAGATTTGAGAGAGAAATTTTTATGTTAATGGACTTACCACATAAATTTCTCAGTAAATCAAATTTTTGAATTCGTCTATTCGAAGTATCTGCGACAAACATATTTCCATAACTATCAAAACTAAGAGTATACGGCAAATATAATTTATCAGGTGTTGAACCGCTTGAACCAGAACATCCAGCTAAACAACGAAAACCATTTGATCCTTCACCAACAATACGATTATTTGTACTATCCACAATAAAGAGATAATTATCAGCATCAAGAACCACTCCAGTTGGATTATCGAGTGTAATTGTAGTATTCAATGATCCTGTTCCTGCTACTGTGATTCCACTTAATTGTCCTAATCGAAAGAGTTGAATTCGATTATTGGATTGGTCTGCCACATATAAATCAAAATTGATATCAACGTAGATTCCCCAAGGATTATAAAGCATATCAGAAGTGCTTCCATTAATACCTGTACCAGCAACAATCGATAATGCATTCGAAACGGTGTTCAATGATTTTTTCATAATTTGATGAAGATTTTGCATTGAACAATAAAGATTGTTATCAATATCAACAAAAAGATCCGAACACTTTTGACATGTATACATTGTTGGAATACCAATTGATGAATTTAATGTCCATTTAGTAACTCGACCTATTGAATTATCACTATCGACATAAATATCATCTGTTATTGTAACAAAAATACTCCATGGATTTGATAAACTACTTGAAATATTTTCTGTTGGTATAATACTTCCTTCAGACCAAACGATAATACGACCATTGGATCGATTGGGTACATAAACTGTGTTGTTCGTATTAACAAAAATTTCGTAAGGGTAATTACCAACTATGCTGACATCTGCGAGAGTTGTAGCATTTGGATTCCATGATGCATTTTGACAGAATTTTGGACGATTATAAGAAAGAGCTAAACAATAAAGAAACTTTTAATTATTTCATTAAAATGAAATAATAAATTTGTTCATCAATCTATTTAAGATTTACAAAGATCTTCAATATTCCTATTTTCAATAAAATTAAAAGCGACTCAAGAAAAAATAAATATCTCGAATACTAATAATATTATTGTTTTTGAAAAAAAAAGTAACTGATTAATAAAAATTTATTAACACAATCGTTTTTAAACTGAAATATGGAGTTTAAATATTCAAATGTAAAAGAAATAAATATTTAATATAATAAAAAATGATTAGATTCCATATCTATTGATTTTCTTTCTTTTTCTCCTTAATTGGATGATTATACATATCTTTTATTCAATAAAATTTCGAAAAATCCTTTAAAATGTCTTTATTATGAAACATTGTATAAGTACTATTTTAATCTCTATTGTTATATAAACGAATGTAATCATCTTTAATCTTTTTATCTCCGAAGATGCGTATAATACCTTCAAGTCTTCACTGTATTATTGATATACAATAGTACTCGTTTGTTTTTGCAAAAAAAAACAGGTAACATGAACCATTACAGACTGTAATAGATATTGATAAGTAATTATTATTATTATACTGAAAAAGACTATCACACACACACACACATCATAAGAGATGTGACTAGTTGACATTGATTGGTATTGTTACAATTATTTTGTATGTCATATTTTACTGTCGTATAGAATCAGCTAATAGATTTTCTTTTAGATGTTTATTATTGGAATCATAAACTGTTAACAAAATTTTCTATTATTCGATTGTTGTCTTACAAAGTAGAATGACGATTTGATATTTTATTTCCTTCTCATATATATATATCTATTCTATTTACTCAATGAATAAAGAGTTTCAATAATAATGAAGATCAATGAATTGATATTTCTATGATTCTCATTGTATTCTGATGAATTTAGAATTGTTACCTGATATTTGTTTGATAATAATGAATAAAAAGCATATTTTGAAATGATGAAATAATATCATATTGAATAACGTTATAGACTTCTCTTTAACGTTATTCAATAATAATCATATAACAAAAGTCAAAATGAAATGTAACTAATCATTTTGTTGATCAATTTATATGCCTTTCTTCTTGTTACATTTCCGTTTGTTTTCTTGTCCTTTTTTGAATTATTTTCAAATGTATGACTTCAAAAATAGATTAAGAAATTATGGGAAGAAATACAAATATGTTTATCGAGAAGAAGTAGGTTAAGAAATTATGGGAAGAAATACAAATATATTTATCGAGAAGAAAAAACTCTCTTGTGTTGTTTATCTCGATTGTAATTTAAAAAAAAAAGGGTCAATAATATTACAAAACTTAAGATAATATATTACAACTAATCGATTAAATATAGATATTGATTTATAATTGATAATATAAGTGACATATCTAATCTATTATTTATTTCAAGTTTTTTTTGTTAATAACAAAAGAAAAGCTTCGTTTAAATTCAACATCAGTAGATAAACAAATAGTTATTTGTTGATTAAATAAAACCATTTTAATGATTTTCTATCGATTGAAAGTTGTCCAAAAAAGAAGTACTTCCGACAAATATATGATATTCTATTGTCAATAGAATAAAAAAATAAAATACTTTTTAAGACAAAAAAAAGTCAGGAAAATAGAATTATTACGCATTTCTTCGGCTGTAAAATCAATGATTTCAATATTAACAACGTCATACTATGTGTTTGCATTCATTTCTTCTTCTTGGATTTTCATATAAATATTGACACAACTCTTTTACTAATTTAACAGTTTTTTCCAACTTAGGTGTTTGTGTATGTTTTGTACAATTAAATCATTATTCTTTAATTGAAAACGGTTTAGCTGTTCTATATAGTTTATATAAAAGATTTATTAATTAAGCATTTTTCTATGTTCAATTGAAGGTGAGGGTGAGGGTGTGGGTGCCTCTCTTCTTCACCCACACTCACACCCACACCCATACTCTCCCCTGAACATTCTCAAGATAAATAGCTCATCGTCAAAAGATTCTGACTCTTGTTTATTTTCAGACAAGATATTAAACTATGTCTATTTCGGATTACGCCATATAATATTTAGAATGGAATCCTTCTTGATGTTGTAGTGAGTAAGAGTTAATGATGTATTAAAACCCGAATAAGCCGCGGTGTGTATCGATCGGCCACAGAAAAGTAGTTTTTGTCTATCCGACGGAAGATTCCATTGGCTTTCAATCTGTGCTCCGAGTTCCTCGGCCGTTGTATTCCCATTGACAGTGAGTGTGAGTGTCTGACCAGAGAGTGGTTTAATTGTAATTTGATAAGGTCTTCCTGACTGCATTTCCTCCAAGTCCTTCAAACGTTCCTGTTCTTGTGCGTTCAAAATAGCCACACGTTGTGGTCGAATATATTCAATCACTTCTCGAACCGTTGTCATTTGATCAGCAAATGTCCCTTGGTTACTGGTTAGAAGTATAGGATCAACAGTGACTCTACTGAAAAAAAGTAATAATTTGATCATATCTAGAGACCGATTGAACAAACAAGCAATTTGCAAAGGAGTAAAACCTCCATGTCGAAGAGGTTCCCAATCGTTGATTGTATCTAGTTCTCCATTCGCTCCTGTAACGAGTTGACGTGTCAACTCCAAATCATTTCGAGCAATAGCAAAATGAATAGGAGAGACAGCTTCGAGACCATTTTCATCAGAAAATGGTGCTTCAATTTCACTTCTGGCTGGAATTAAGTGTTGTCTTGCAAAATAAGTAGAGCATAGAGCACGTCTGTTTCTCGATTTGTAATGTTCAATATAATCACGTGATAGGGCTTCCAACAGCAAGCGAACGGTGGCCAATGAACCCGAATGGCAAGCAAACATAAATGCATCTCGTTCAACATTCAAAGTATTGGTAGATGAGAATAATTGATCAACTCGAACGCCTGCTTCCAACATATATTGTACAATGTCTGTGTAGCCAAGTAAACAAGCACGTTGATAGGCAGTTTGTTGTTCTTTCGCCGGTGCTGCCCATTCTGAATCGAAAAATCGACGAATACGACATAGATGTCGTAAATGTTCATTGGAAAAAGACTTGATAGCCGATAAATCATGCGATTCAACTCCGAAGAATAGTTGATCAAGATAATATTCATCGGCGGGAGAACAAGTCGATTCTGTTTCGTAATCAAAAATACTCCAGGAAAACGTTGTGTAAGAATTTACAGCCATCGAAAAAACTTTTCTGGTTGTTTTTTTCCTGCTTCTCTCACTTATTTATGGCGTACTTATATCAAAACATCATTTTATACGATCACTCCCGTATGAATCATCATGCTTTTTTCTCTCATTCTGCGTAAATATTTAACTACTTTATCAGGACAGACAAAAAAAATTGTCATCATTCCTCTTTGCATCTCATTTGTTTTCATTTCAATGGTCAAAGTACGATATGGATAATGATTGTTAGATAATCAAAGTTCTTCAAGTTTGTTCAATAGAGCAATAGAAGAAACGCTTTTAGTTGGTTTTTGTCAGATGTAGATGTCGTTGAATAGTTATTTTGTATTCAGATATTGACATTGTGGGAATAAACGAAATAAAACATAAGATTATATACAGCCACGCTTCATCCGATGATTCCATACATTTCGAGAGAAATGTCAGAATTAAACGTAGTAAAGCAAGAAAAACAAAAATGATCGGTGCAATAAGTAGATGTTTATGTTTTTGATATTGTTCATGAAGAATTTCTCGATAGGGTTGCTCATGATGAATACGCACTTGTTGAAGAGATTGAGGGTGTGGGTGTTCTTAACAAGATCCATTCACACCTTCAACTAAACCCACACCCACACCCTTCTATTATAGATTCATTTGTAGTCTATAGTAGCTATGTAGTTCCACTATTTTGGATTATTTAATTCAGAATAATAAGCCTTTTTGACAAGACCCTTGAGCAAGGTCGAAACACGTGTTAACGCAGCTTGTCTCACCCTCACCCTCACCCTTGACGTTTTTCGGTTTTCTTTATTGGACAAGATAAGCTTTTTATTTTAATAAAAAAATTTCTTTGGAACTAAAGAAAAGCGATATATAGATATGTGACTGTATAACGATTACCGACGATTAGGCGACTATGTCCTAGAGATGGAAGTATATTCATTACGACGGTTTCGGCTGTTGGTTGATATGTAAATTTAATTGATGTATAACGTTTATTTAAATCTTCGACAGCTGCCATGCCTGCTTGAGTTCTCAGCTGTTCACGTAGTCTCACATCTGATAGTAAAACTGTCTTTGAGAGACCAATATAAGTATAACCTGTACGTCTATTAATGTAATCGATTGCATCGCGATATTCTTCTGGTGTTATTTTGTCCTTCAACCAATTTGGATCGAGAAGAGAGTTCGGATTGAAAAACCCACTGGATCCTCGGAGTTTGATTATTCCACCGCCCATCAATTCTGCTTGTGGTAGAAGGGGTATTAACTGTTCTAATTGTATATCGACTTCCTCTTTTGTCCATGGATTCAACATTCCCGTAGTACAACCCATTTTTCGTCAAATAAATTAAATTGTATAATGACGTTCTTAAATTTGACTGACTTTGGTGTGAATGCCAAACTACACTACAGAATTAAAAAAAACTTTAAACTGAAGAATTGATGTGAACAGAAAAAATGCATCAAAAGAAAAGGGTGTGGGTGATATTACGTCAACATGTCCTCTGTTTACTTTTCATTGACCTAGAGAGCATAAAAGCAGTCGATCATTATTCTCAGCTTTTCAAAAAAAAGTTTACCTGATAGAATAAATCATTCTATGCCACCATCATACTGCTACCCGTGATTGTTAATAAAACAAACACAGTTACTATACATCCTTAACCAATTTTTGAGACGCTAAAAACAATCACTGATGACGCCGATTCTTTTTTCTTTCTCCATGGAGAAAGAATTACAGAACAGAAAGAAAGTAATAAAGAATTGTTAGCATCAATAGATGCCAACACCATCTTGAGGGTGTGGGTGTGGAATGAATAGAGTACGCACACCCACTTCTTTGTTCTCTATTAGTTAACAAAAAAATTGTTCCATTATCTCGAGTGATGAAATCTACGAAGTACAACTACATATGGTATGAACTAGAACTTGTTTCCTCTTTTGAACAGCAACATATTAAATGTTTTAAATATATATATATTTCAAATGAAATTGAAAAATCGATCATAAATGAGAAATGAAGAAAAAAAAATAAACAAAAAACATTTGGTGATACACCGTTACAAACATTGAAATCTAGATTTAACAATGGAATGATTTATATATTAAAGCTCTTATTTACAAGTTTCTAAATACAAAATATAGACTTCTCATTGTATGTAGAAAGCAAGAACAAATTCTGTAAAATATATTAATATTCATATATTTTTGTTCTTAACACACGATGAACAGTGTATATATTAACTGTGTTACTTCGATAATAAGAGCTTTAATCTAATCTTTCGTTTCATAAGTCGGTATTGTTTCACGGCATGCTAATGAAAATGTATTAATATGATCTTTAAAATTCGAATATCTTGTACGTTCACTAAATTAAAGAAATAATTCACATAAATATATATATATATTAAAAAGTGCATAAATTAAATTACGATGTTAATATTTTCAATAATGCTTCACGATGTTGACGTTTAGCTGATGATGTTGGAAAATTTGGATCATTCAAACATTGTTGCACCCAATGTGTTGTCCATTGAAGATATGATTTTGAAAGAGTAAAAAGAGGTAATGATAAACTATCAATAAGATGATGAGGACTTGTTTCACCAATACACTATAAATTACACATCAATCAGTCAAGAAAAACTAACGCATTTTCTAATCTAACCTTTAAAAGAATTTGAACAAATTCAAAACCATTTTGTTGTAAAAGATCCGCCGCTCGTTGATTTAATTTTGTATATTCAATAAAGTTTGACTTTTGAAAAATAAGATTCTCAAATATATTTTTATACTATTTATATTAACTTACAATAAATGTCGATATACTTTTCAATGCTCCTTGTTCATGTAATTGAATACCGTTTTTCACTTAAAATAATATACGAAATTTTACAATGAATCTATACAACTTTGATACTTACTAAATTGAATGAATAAGACATATGCTTCATCAGGACAATGATGTATAACATTTGGTAATTTTTTAATTATCTAAACATAAAAAACGGAATTATATTTTCTTGATAAAAAAATTATCTTACTTGACCAAAGAAATTTGCAATATCTTCTACTGTATCAACATGATCTTTTAACCATTGTATATCTAAAACCATTGAAATAATATACAACCTATTGATGACAAGTAAATTATACAACCTCCATTGAATAAATGTCCAAATTTATGAAGAACAATAAGAAAAAGATTGAACACGGATTGATTTGTATCTTTTGAAAAAAGAAGTAGTGTCTAAAAACAAAACTTTCTATTTTTTTATACTAAAAAAATTTCAAACTTACATTTCGAACAAAATTTAAAAATTCTACATGTAATATATTTGGTCCCATATTTTGTAGAATTTGAAGAAATGTATTGAATATCAAACTACTTGATTCTTTCAAAATTGTTACTGTTCGGGAAAGAATTTCACAAATTTTCTTTCAAAAAAAAAAAAGAAAACATAGATAATCAAATGAGAAAAGAACTTATTTCTTACTTCTGTTACTTGAATATCATCAGCATACTGTTTAAGTATCATATGAAGAATAGGATCAAGATCACGAAGTATACAGCATAGCTTAAAAGAAAAAACAAAATAAACTTATGTATCTCATTGTATGTATGAGTTTGGTCGAAAGTAAAAATGTCGAAAACCAAAAATAAGAAAATGGATGTGGGTGAGGGTGTGGGGGTGGATGAGTGTGGGTGTGATGGTACTTCTAGTCAGCTGTACTTGTCTCCCTTTCTCAGATCCACATCCTCATGTTTGTTGATTATTTGGCACACTACTCGATCTTCTTTATAGTACTTTCTCAACATCAACTTTACTAACATGTTCTCTTAAACCATATTCAAAATTTTCGACATTTTTACTTTCAACTAAAGTCATACATTCTATCACATCGTAGTTCAGATTTGTACAATTCACATATTCTTCTGGAATATATTTTTTTGAATTAAACTATCAATCAATCAGATATAACTTTTGCACTTTATGTATCATCAGAATCTGACTGATCTCAATAAAATACAAGAATTTCTTACCACTTCAGATGTATTACTAGTATTGAGTTGTTGTTCATTTTCTACTCCGTTATTTTGATCATCATAATAACCAATAGCAGTAATAAGTACAGAGATAAAACTAAGCGTTGTACAAATATTCTCTTTTCGTATGATAGCATTCTATATAAATTTAATATAATTTTTTTTTCAATAAATTTTATTTTTACTTGATTATTTTCTATATCCGATAGATAACTAAGTAATTTATTCACTTCAGGACTAAGTAAAATATTTAAATATTCAATAACAATCTTTGATGGATGTACAGATAGAATATAACCAATAATTGTTAAGCAACGAATACGATCATTCGATTGAATATGAACATTCTCAAGAACATTCTATTGAAATTAGAAATACCTATAATACGAAAGACTTTTTTTTTATTCTTCATTACTTTCATAATTGGAAAAATATCATGAAGATATTTCGACATGTATATTCGATTTTCTTTAATTAATTCTTTTAAAGCAATCGAAGATGATTCAATTAATTCAGAATTCGATAATCCATTTATACATAAATGTACACAATTTTGTAATATATCTTGATGATTACTTAACCAATTACTATATTGTCCTTTTTATCAAAAGCAAAATTTAATTTAGTTTTATTATTATCATTAAATTATTTTTACCTAATACTGTAAGAGTAGTTTTAATAATTAGATTATTAGAAAAATTTAATTTTGGTATTAATGAAAAAATCGAAGGTAAAATTTGATTTTCATCCGATTGAATATATTCTGAACCAGAACCAATTAAATAAATTATTGATTCTTGCCTCTAAAATAGACAATAATTTACAATTAAAAGAATTTTAATAGAAATAAATCAATTCACCTGCCATGATTGATTTTGATCAATAGATATTAATAAATGATTGCCTAAGACTTCTATAGCTCGATTACCAAGAACATCATACATACACATCTAAATTTAGAATTGAAATCATTTTTATCAAGTGTTTGTTTTTATATTTACCATTGTATCGATTATATTCAAGCGATACGATCGAAATAATTCTTTATCTTCACTTGTAAATACCTTCTCGTTTTCAGGTATTTGTCCTTTTGATATCAATACTTCAATTAAATGTTCAAAATAAGGACGAAATATTTCTTGATTTTTCTCTTCATTCGTTGAAGTAATTTCTTCCTAGAAATACAATTTCAATAGAATTACGTAAATTTAATTTCATACTTTTAAAGCATGCCAAAAATTAAATGTTAATTCTGAGCATGTTTCTTCAATTGGATATTGTCCTTTCATATTAGTACATTTCTAAATTAATATCACTCCGTACTATATCAATGAAAGAAAAAAATGAATTTATTTACCATGACAAGATGACAAAAACTTTGTGATTGTGAATTTTGTGTCATCGATATTTGAACAATAAGTTGAGTTAGATTTTCACCAAATTCTGTTATTAATTTTGTAATACATTCAACTTTTTCCTTTAGGATTAAAATTTATAGAAAATAAGCAGAGAAATATTTATTTACTTTATTTTCTATAGTTAAATATTGATCAAGTAATGTTTCAAGTTGTAAAACATATGGTAATAGACGAGAAAATGTTGATGGATATTTAAGTGCATCAGGTGATGTAAATATAACAGTAAGACATTGACAGACATCATCAAATAAATATTGATTATTTAATGAAGTGAATAAATACTGGAAAAATATTTCAATTTTAAGAATCGATATACCAAATTCAAGCCATTTTGATAGACAAGAAAATATTTTACTAAGAATATCTACTTGATTAAAAGTTGAAATAATAAATTGTAAATAATCCAGAACTAAATTTATTTAATATAAACAAAGAATTTGAATTATATGTTGATGATTACCAGTTGAAAATTCTTTTTCAAGTTCAACTCGAATTGAAGAACGTCGAGATTTCGTCACATTAATACGTGAAAACTAGAAACAATTAGAACTACATATTATGATCGAAAATCATGCATTTTTACTCACTCTAAAAATGTCATAATACGAAAGTTCTTGTCACCTAGACCACGAATTTGACATCTATTTGCCGTAGGGGGGAGGGTACCTGGGTGTCAGCAGAATAGTTCCATGGGGTTTTGAGCTCTATTGGGAAATGATGACGCTATCGTCCAAATAACAAAAATAGTAAAATAGTTTAAAATCCCATTTTTTTACTATGTTTTTTATTTTGAGGATAGCATTGTCATTTCTCAAAAGATTTCAAAACTTCCTTATACGAAAATGATCAGCGAATCAAGCTCTACAAAGTCTGATCGAAAAGAAAACTTTCTGAATGCTTTGTGTCGGACATCCCATCGAACTAATTCGTGATCTGGACGACGAGGACTTTCGTATTATGACGTTTCTAGCGTGAGTAAAAATTCATGATTTGTCTACATGTTGATTAAAATGATTACTGATTTTCTTCAGTTATATAGGTTTTTTTAATGTAAAAATGACAAACTTACTTCTTCTGGAAGTATAGTTAAAATATCTAATACAATCAGATGTCCTTTTTCAGGCTAGAATAGAACAAAGAATGAACTTTATGCATCGAAATAGAATTTAATAAACCTGTTGAAGTAAAAATTCATTTTGTGATTGAGTAAATAAAGTTATAATTGCTGTTAAACCATTATTCCATTTATCTGGCATCATATTCAAGACTAATTGACATAACTAAATGAAATATAATTTGAATAAATAAATTTTTTTGTTCGAATTTTTCTTTACAGCAATAGTTAGTTTAATGATAATCTGTTTTGAATTAATTGAATTATAGAAAATTAATCGTTGTACAAGTTGTTGAAATAATTGTTGAATTTGATTATCATCTAATTCTGATCTGAATAGTTTAATGTATATTATAAAAATAGATTAAAGATAAAATAAATTTACAAATTTTTCGAAATTTTATTTGAGAGAGCCATAGCACCAAAGAATTGTACACTTGCTGATTTATTTATATTTAAAAATGTCCATGAAAAATCCCATGCTAATGATGAATATTGTGAATTTTCAAGTATAGTATTCATTTGTTGACGTTCAGAAATAGATAATTGTGATGTTGGAGAATAGAAATCATTTATAATTCGTTCTAATTAAAACGAAATACATTTTTTATATAATAAACAAATGAAATCTCTAACCTATATCATCAGCAGAATAATTTGTTGTCATGTTTATATTACCAGTAGTTAATATTCGAATTACTAAAAGTATTGAACGAATATTAATTCATATATTTTTAAAGACTATCACTATACGCGTATAGTCTTACGCAATCATAGATATATGTATGATGTCACTAGTCCACAATAGATGTTTGTTATTTCTTATGCCAACATGACTGATTGATGTTAAGATCAAAAATAACAATTCAAGTTTATATTCATACTTATTTCAATGTTAAAAATCATGCATATACTCTTTTGTATCGATAATCAAGATAAGCATAATTATCAAACCATTGAAGACGCTACTACTATTCGATGCAGTTTCGAACAACTTAATATTAATATCTGTCGGATCCGAAATAAAGCATGCAGTTGGATGTAGGTATGGCCGAAATCACCCCCACACCCACTCCACCCACACCCTCAAGATTTGCAGACTATTAACTAATCGCGAGGTTCTGTAAATCTACATTTTAAAATAAATAAACACGATATAGCGAATGATTTCTCCTAGTCTAATCATATTTATTATATATTCACACCTAACTGTTTAGAATTATATTACAGTTCAGTTATTGTAACTTCGAACATGTCGATATATCATATTTATCATCTGATATTTTTAGAGAATTGAGTAACCGTTATGTAGCAGAAATAGATCTACTTGGTTTTAAATTAGAGATGAACAGAGATCAAATGTATTTCATTATTCATCTTTTACTATTCACACTTTCGAACTTATAGAAAACTAAAAGTTTCACTAGTTTTCGCTACGGCTCTCAAGTCTAATACTACTTTGTTTTGTTTTGAGCCATATACGAAAATTATATACAGCGTAAATTTAATTTCATGGTATCTCCGACAACTATAGACATCTAGCTAATTGGCTTTTGATTCGTTTTTTTATTCATCTCCATCAAATGTGAACAAGTGAGTAGTAGTCAGGTTATTGTTGTTGTTGTTTTTGATTTTATTATGATTGTTTATATTTGAAGAAAATAAACCAATTTGAAATCGTCATTTTAGATTCGTGTGTACGTGTACATCAAAAATAATAAAATGTCATCATTTGTATTACGTCGTCTTGCTATAACATGTCGTCCGATTTATAATCGACGTACAATTACTACTAGCTCACCGCTTCTCAACGATCCAAATCAACAAAATAGTAGTGCAGCAAGTGCAACTGATGCTCCACGAACCATAACTCTCATTCCAGGTAATTTTATTTATTTTGTCATGGTTATTATTCATTATTTGTTTCATTACAGGTGATGGTATTGGTCCAGAAATTTCCGCTAGTGTCCAAAAAATCTTTGAAGCCGCAGGTGTACCACTCGCTTGGGAGTCAGTGGATGTAACACCTGTTAGATCGGTAAAATATTATCTTATATATAATTATTTTTATTGAAATATTCTCTAATCTAGCCTGATGGAAAATTTCGCATTCCACTTCGAGCCATTGAATCAGTAACAAAAAATCGTATCGGTCTCAAAGGACCATTAGCAACACGTTAGAAAATAAGATTCTTTAATATATATATAATAATTTTTCTTTCTAGCGGTTGGCAAAGGACATCAATCTCTTAATCTTGCTCTACGTAAACAATTTAATTTATTTGCCAACGTACGACCATGTAAAACTCTTGAAGGTAAATAATTACAAAAAAAATATTTGTAATCAAAAAATTAATTGTTTTGATTATTTAGGTTATGCAACACCCTATACAAATGTTGATCTCGTTACAATACGTGAAAATACAGAAGGTGAATATTCAGGTATTGAACATACAATTGTACCAGGTGTTGTTCAAAGTATTAAACTTATTACTGAACATGCATCATTACGTGTATGTGAATATGCATTTCTCTATGCCAAAACACATAAACGAGAAAAAGTAACAGTTGTTCATAAAGCAAATATTATGTATGAAAAAAATTTATTTCTATTTTTACATATTTACGTTATTTTCTTTTGTATAACTCAGGCGACTTTCTGATGGTTTATTTTTAAAAAGTGCTCGCGAAGTTGCTGAAAAATATCCCGAAATTAAATTTGAAGAAATGTATCTTGATACAGTTTGTTTAAAGGTTAGTTATAATATTGAAAAATTGATTTTAGTATTGAATTTTGTATATTAATAGATGGTTCAAGATCCAACTCAATTTGATTGTTTAGTTATGCCAAATTTATATGGTGATATTTTAAGTGATCTTTGTGCTGGCTTAATTGGTGGATTAGGTTTAACACCAAGTGGTAATATTGGTGAAAATGGTGCTGCTATTTTTGAAGCTGTTCATGGTACAGCACCAGATATTGCTGGACAAGATAAAGCAAATCCAACGGCATTACTTTTAAGTTCAGTTATGATGTTAAGACATTTACATATGTTCGATAAAGCTGATCGTATTGAAAAGGCTTGTTTTGATACAATTCGAGATGGAAAAGTTTGTTAAAAAAATATTTCTTTTCGATAAATATAATTTTTGTATTTTTTAGGCACTCACCGGTGATTTAGGTGGTAAAACGAAATGTTCCGAATATACAGCTGAAAT